GCCCCACCGCTCGTCTTCCATATGAACTAATATCCTCCCAGGAAGGCCAGACATCCCCCCTTCATGCCCGTCAAATCAAACGATGTGCGCACACCCATTCATGTCAAACGATCATGTTTCAATACCCACAGCATTAAACCACAAAACGTCCCCGCGCGCGCACCTGTCACAGCAATAACAAACACACGAGTTAGTCAAATGGATCATCAACACATTTAACAAAAAAAACTTGGGCTTTTCACGACTGGCCTTACAGGTTTTCTGTGGAGCGCAATTGCTGAAACCAAATGGAACATATATGATGGTAGCAGCCTCGTGCGCAATCCGCATTATCATCTCAGTACGCGGTGCACCCGCGGTGATTTTGCAGGCGCCCAGTTCATTCACGGATCCTTACCACATAATACCACACTGGGGCACAAGCGCGCACCGCGACGCGCGCGTCAACCATTGGTCCTCGAAGAGTTTCAACATTGAGCTCTTCACAAACCTATGGGAGCACATGTTTTCCAACAAAGAATGCCAATGTCCTGAAGATATGTGCGCGTGCACTTCATCAGCATCACCCTCATCAGCGTTACCGCATCATCACCGACATCGTCATCGCCAATCGCAGCCATTGCCGCCGTCATCTGTTAACCACGTTCACCATCGACACATGCACATCACTGTCATCACCAGCATCGACGCCGTTAGTGGCTCTGCCGTCGTCATCGTCACTCTGGCCACCACCATCGCTACTACCATGATCGGTGCCGCCGTTGTCGGCGACATCAGGGTACCGCGCCCGCACAAGTCAACGACCCGCATTGGAGTGCCCGCGCGCCAGCGCAGGCATTGAGACGCGATGGGAAGGTCCCCTCGGTAAGCGTCATCGCGACCGCGCCGACTGCGCCAAACCAGCAGGCCGCTCTGCGCGCGAGGTTCCGCACGCTACTGCAGCCGCAGAGATGCGCCAGCCAGTGCCAAGCAGCCACTGCAATCGCGGCCGCATGAGTTGTGCAAATCAAGTCGCGGATGGGAGGTTTGGGTGATTGCGCCAGATATGGAGTGCATCACGTGGATGGCACCACATGGAGTGCATCACGTAGATGGCACCGCATATAGCGCACCGAATACATTGCACCACACAGGCCGCACCAAGCACAGACTGCACAACCAAGATTGCATAACGGTCACGCAAGAGCATACTGCTAGGAGCCCACGTTGGCCGAAATATTAGGAGTGATGGACAAGCCCGCATCAGGAACTGTGGCCCCTCCCCAACCACCCCTGAAAATTCCAGTCACTCGGAGCACGCAACGTGGACAAGTTTTGCCGCAACATGCAGCAAATTGCATTCTTTTTGGCGGGATGGAAAAGGGGAGGGGGGGCGCGAACATTGGCCCTGGTGAGCGGCCATTCGAGTGGGGGGTACTGATAATCAGCCGCAGTGAGGGTGAGGGTGAGAGTGAGGGTGGGGGCAAGCTACTCCCCCCCCCCGAAGGACGGCCGTCTGGCTCACTCTCAGCTGCCTCCCACCACATAGACAGCACTCGAGTCTCAGCATGGGCAGGGGCCGCCATCGGCCATCATCGGCAACCAATGCAGACGCCAGCCAGGTGCGCGACGCCCACGAGGTGCGCCGCGCGTGCCTGGGCACCCCCATCATCCCTGTCAAATAACTATACACAACTATCGCGGAGCGCACGCACATGATCGCTGACCAAAAATGTATGTTGTATTGTTATTGGGCAATGATAATTGGCCTGCTCGCGCACCGCCACTCGTCCCTAGCCAGAAACAATGCAACGTGATCGCCGGGTGCCCGCGCATGATCCAAGTTTTGCCGCAACGTGCACAATATCGGAGGTTGGGAGGGTGAGTCCGACGTGAAACGGAGACCCCCCCTACCCGGAAATCGATTTCGGTTTCGGGTTCGTGTCGTGCGTGCCGTGCGTGCGTGCGGGCGAAGCGAAGCTGCGTGGGCGGGCGAGAAGAAATCCTCCTGTGGCTGGGCCGCGGCCGGACCAAATGATTCTCCTCCGGCGGCCGTGGCCCGCGGTGTCCCGCCGGTGTCCCGCTGGTGTCCCGAAATCCTCCTGTGGCTGGGCCGCGGCCGGACCAAATGTTTCTCCTCTGGCGACCAGTGGCCCGCGGTGTCCCGCCAGTGTCCCGCTGGTGTCCCGAAATCCTCCTGTGGCTGGGCCGCGGCCGGACCAAATGATGCCCCTCCCGTCAAACGGTGGCCCGCGGTGTCCCGCTGGTGTCCCGCCGGTGTCCCGCCGTGCCCATTGCTGCACCCCCCTTCCCCCCCAACTTCCTCATCACCCGCAGGGTGGTCGTATAGGTACATTGTTTCCCGACAGGGGTGGTGGGGGGAGGGTGTCATGGTTCTGGGTTCGCCCCTGATCAGGTGGGGGAGGGAGCGTATGTAATGAGGAACAGTGCTTGAGGACAAGGGCGGGAAAGAGGGCACGGGCAAGGGTCAAGTTCCCAAGATTGCCCCAAACCAGTTCAAAGGCGCCCGGAGCAGCCTCCAACACTGGCAAGAGTATGCGAAAAGCCGATCACAGGGAGGGGGCAGTGATTCGCCGGAGACGTCTTCGATCTGACCAGCGTGTCGTTTTGCATCACTAGAGGAGAGACTCTCGACGCGGAGAGACGTGAGGAAAGGGAGGATAAAAAAAAGATCTGGAATGAGAGCGGATCAGAAGAGTCACCGAGCAGCCCGTGCCCCCTCATTCCTGCACCATCCTCTTTCCTCCCACCCCCCGCTCCTCCTCCTCCGCTCCATGCTCCTCCTCCCCGACCTCCGGCTTCCAGCATCTCGCTGGGAGAGGCCCTCCAGAGGTTCAGCACATCCGTCCGACGATATGTGTTCCCAAGTGGAAGGAGGGAAGGAGGAAGAGGACGAAGGGGCGTGCGAGGATGAAGAAGCCCAGGGACACACAAATAAATAGACACAAATAACAGGATTCCCCATATTTCCCGCATTTTCTGGAGTTTCGTCTTCCCCCCCACTTCCCACATTTTCCGACATATTCCTGGGGGATCGACGATTAATTGTGTCTGTGTGTTGTTGTTCCCTCCTGAGAAGGGGCGTGCGAGGAGTGGAGTGGCGCCCCGCGAGGAGACGCTGGGCTGGGTTTCTGCCTCCCGTGGCCTGTTCCGCCTTGTGCGAGGGCCGCCGCGGGCCCAACGCGCATCTGAGACGGGGGGGGGTCGTTGACCAGGGGGGGGGAGGGGGAGGGGGGGAGGAGGAGGGGAGGAGGGGAGGAGGGGGAGGAGGAGGAGGAGGAGGAGGAGGAGGAGGAGGAGGAGGAGGAGGAGGAGGAGGAGGAGGCGGAGGAGGAGGAGGAGGAGGAGGAGGAGGAGGAGGGGGGAGGAGGAGGAGGAGGAGGAGGAGGAGAAGAGGGGAGGAGGAGGAGGAGGAGGGGGAGGAAAAGGAGGAGGAGGAGGGGGGGGAGGATGGGGAGGAGGAGGAGGAGGAGGAAGAGGAGGAGGAGGAGGAGAAGGAGGAGGAGGAGGAGGAAAGCAAACCCTCCCGTCCCAAGTCCGCTCTTTATAAATCCGTACAAGCCCTCCCAGTCGCTAAAAGAAGCGCCACGTCGAAAGACCAGTACCCGATGGACCTGCTTCTTTAGGCGAGAGCTCCAATTTGAAAAAAAAAAAAAAAAAAAAAAAAAAAAAAAAAAAAAAATGCCTTGCATCCTGCTAGCAAATAATACGGAATACGGAAGGGCATTATCAGAGAGCTTAACTGCAAGATCCCCGTTTTGAAAATCGAACGCCCCCGTCCGTGCAACTGCTGTGCAGCTCCCCACGTCTGGTCCATGCGCTGCGAGGAGATCTCAAGGGAGAGCCTCAGTTTGAAAGAAGCCCCCATCCATCTGCGCAGCTGTAATTTCAAGCGTCCAGTCTTGAGAGGTGGTGGAGGAGGAGGAGGAGGAGGAAGGGAGAAAGGGAGGGAGGGGGGAGGGAGGGAGGAGGAGGAGGAGGAGGAGGAGCGAGGAAGAGGAGCGAGGAGGAGGAGGAAGAGGAGGAGGAGGAGGAGGAGAAGGTTGAGCGAGGAGGAGGAGGAGGAAGAAGGTCCAGAGCGAGAGCCCCATCTGAAAAGAATCCGACCTCCGTCCGTGCAGCGGCTGCAGAAGTTCACAAACGACTGCGCGCTGCGCCAACGCGAGAGCCCCACTTTGAAAAGGAACTGCTCTTTATATGACTACCTACCAGACCACCCCAACCCAACCCGAATACCCGAATTTCGGGTTGGGGGGGGTAAGGGTTCCACGCGTGTTTTTTCGATGTTTCCCGAACCCCCCCCCCACTAGAAATCGAGGCTAAATCTGAGCCTTCGGGTTGGGTTGGGGTGGTTTGGTGGGTGGTGATTATATGTGTGACCGTTGCAAAACTTCTGGACGACGGTCCGCCGCCTCAACGCGAGAGGCACATTTTGCAACGGGATCGTCCTCCGCCTCCGCAAATTTTGCAAACGTCTAAGACGACTGCGCGCGGCGCTGAGCAGTGTACCCCATTTTGGATACGACCCCCGCCCTCCATCTTTGCAACTGTTGCAAACGTGAAACAACAAATGTGCAAGATTCTAACGAGAAAGGCCACATCTTGAAAACCATTCGTGGCGCAGCCCTGTAGCTGCTGCCATTTGCTGAAGACGAACGCGTGCGGCGGTAACGCGAGAGCCTAAACTTGAAAAAGATCTGCGAGAAAAAATCTACGCTCCATCGTTGTAAATGTTGCAAGTGTTGAAAGCTAATGCACGTGGCGCTGAGGCGAGAGCTCCATGCTGAGGTCCCCCTCCGCACACCATCCTTGCAATTGTTGCGAAGTTCAAGCTTCAGGACCACGAAAAAGTCCCCCTCCGCACACCATCCTTGTACTTCTTGCGAAGTTCAAGCTTTTCAGGATCACGACAAGAAAATAGCAGGCAAAACGCGGAGGAGACAGGGAGGAGGAGCGAAAGGGGGAGGAGAGGACGTGGTTTTTCAGCCTCCCCCTGTCGCCAGTGAAGTTCGGGTTCAGGTGGTCCTCCCGGATCAGGTGCGGGAGCAGCACGCTCTCCACGCTGTGGACGTCCTGGAAGGCCGCCACCCCCTTCTCGAACGCGGCCACGACCGCCTCGCGCCGGGGAAGAAAGGCGCAGCCTGCAACAGCTCAAACGGCCCAGGGACACACAAATGAATATTTTCCCAGATTTTGGCGGTTTTCGTCTTCCCCTCCACTTCCCATATTTTCCCATACTTTCTGGGGATCGACGATTCATTGTGTCTGTGAGATTTTTTCCCTCCTGAACAGCACGAGCAGCGGCAGCGCGAGCGGCAGCAGTGCGAAGCGGGGATCTATCCATGCCCGCGTCCCGGGGAACCGACGTCCTGGGACCCCAGCGGGCGGTGGCTATGGATACATTATGGCCCCAGGGGTGCCGAATCGATCTGGATCCACAGTCTGCCGAGGTCCCCGAAGATCGATCACCCTGGCGGTGGTTGTGTGTAAGTTCCCGCCTCGGAAGCAAGCAGGAGCAGCCGTGGGTGCGCCCGGCCCCCATGGGACGGGGGCCCCCAGTTCCGGCATCGAGCAGGGCACTTGCCCGCGGCTGGACCTTTTGCTGCGGGGACAGCTCTGCATCACGCCCGCTCCAGAACCTGGAACGTCGGCGGCAACAAGCCCGAACCCGGCTGACACAGGTGGCGACATCCGAACCCCACCCCCACCAAGCATCGGTTCTTGTGAATCGATGGGAGGCGGGGGAAGAGCTCGGATTTTGCCGTGTTCGGCGAATTCCGACACCCCCCCCACCGCCCATCGAGTTGCCAGAAACGTGGATCGGCGAGAGTAGGGTTCAGGTTTCGTCGCCGACTTGACAAAACAGCGCGGGAGCGAAGTGTGGGCTCCGGGGGGCAGCTGGGCCTTCTTGAACTCCCCGGGCTTGGTGGTGAAGCCGAAGCGGAGCGGCGGCTTCTCCGGGGGCGCGTCCGCGGCCGGCTGGTCCTTCGCGCCGGCCTTGCCTCGCTTGCCGTCCTCGAGGGGCTGGAAAAACGCCGAAGTGGCGCGCTCCTTTCCCCCCCTTCCGCCCCCCCCCCGCAGAGGCGCATCCCATCCCCCCCACCCCACCCACCCCCCACCCACCGCCCCCCCCCCCCCCCCCCCCCCACCCCCACACACACACACACACACACACACACACACACACAGGTATATGTGTGCACGTGTGTGAGTGTGTGTTTGTTTGTATACATGTATGTATGAACGGTTGTATGCACATTTGTATGTGTATGCATGAGTGCTTGTATACACACATGTATGTATGAATGTATGTATGTGTGTATGGTTGTGAGTAGGTTTGTTTGTTTTGAATGTGTGTGTGCATGTATGTAGTAATGTGTGTATGTATACATATATATGTATGTATGTATACATACTTGAACACAGTATGTGTGTATGTATGTATGCATGCATGTATGCATGCATGTATGTATGTATATAGATATGAATGCGTGTATGCCTGCACGTATGCGTGTGTGCATGCATGTATGTATGTATGGATGGATGCATGTGTGTATGTATGTATGTATGTATGTACGTACGTATGTATGTATGTATGTATGTATGTATGTATGTGTGTGTATGTATGTATGTATGTATGTATGTATGTATGTATAAACGAATGCGTGCCTGTATTTATGCATGTGTATGTGTACGCTGTTACGTTTACTTGCATGCGTGTATGTTTGTATGTATGTGTGTATGTAAGAATGTGTATAGCACGCGCGTACGGATGGACGCATGCATGTATTAATGTACTTGGGACAGCACTGCTTTCCTTTGGAATATGTCCCCCCTCTTCCTCCGGAGCCCTGGGCCCCCCCCCCTTCGAAAATCCCCCCTCTTTGCTGGACCCCCCCCTTTCTCCTGGCAAAACCCCTCCCCCTAACCCTTTCCCCCCCGCGTCCGGAAAATCGGAAGGGGTCGCTACCGGTTCGAACCCCCCCCCTTCTCCAGTAACTCGGGGGGGGCCACCACCCGTTCGACCCCCCCCCCCTGAATCGTCGGCGCCGGCGCAAGCCTCGTCGATGTTATCGTGACAGCCTTCGGCAAACGACACAATGATTATATTGACAGCTTTTTATCTCCAACACAGCGCCAACAGTCTCGGTTATCCTCCTCAGGAGGGTGAGCCCCTGGTGGGATCCTGGCACAGGTGCTCTGGAAGCACTGTAACACTATCGCGTGTGCACTGGTAGCTCGCTACCAGGTCAAGGGCGCTCTGGTCCGAAATGGTAGCGATGAAACCTCGCTCGACTCGTTACCCGGGCACGCGCATCGATCGGCCAACATGCGCATACATGTACACAGGGGGGGAAACTGTGGCACAACCGACCAACAAAAATCCTGTATGAAAGCGTCGCGTAGCGACTGGATCTGGATATGAAACTGCATCCAACTGACAATATGCAAAAAGAAACACATCTCGCGAAAGCGAGAGATATGAGTCATGAAAAGAGCAAGCTGGCCTCGATCATTCGACACGTTATCGCTGTCCTGCTGAACTTTTTGCTCTCAATTATCAAGACCACGCAAACCTCGCTTCCGAACCGACTCGAACTCTGGGTCATGCAACAATGTCCACATTCCTCTGATCATGAAAATGTCTAGCAACTTCTGGGCCTCATAATTGATCTTGGTACACCCATCCGCAACCTGAGCATGATAATGAAGCCATCGCAGTCCTGCGCCGCACTCGTTGATGCCCTGCTTGAACGCCATGCATTCGATGGCCGAACGCTTGTCGCTGAGCCCCTATGCTGAACTTCCTGAACCCGTGAATGTATCGCAGAGGCTCTTGCAGTCCGTGACCAATACACTTGGCGGCCGGTCCCTGATGAACTGGCCGCGCTCGTCGCCCTTCAGACATACCCTGGCCGAAGGCAAACTGCGTGTACTCCAGCTCCTCTGCAGCCTCGCTGGCCGCCTGCATCTCTGCACCGAAAGACGATCGGCACTTCCGGGCACATTTACTCGAAGCCCCAGTGAAAAGCGCGAACTTCTGCTTCTCGCCGCTAAGCGCCTCCTTCTCTGTGGCGCATATCACATAGCCTCCTTAACTACTGCCGTGTGCATCGATGCAGCAGACCCAGGCCGTGTCCTTGCACGGATGCGCTGCAACACCTGTCCTGGGAAACTCGTGAATCGTCTTCACCAACTGATTGATTGTACCCAAGTCCTTCACTGTGGCACTGTTGACACTTGACCGCAACATTGAAACAGGCACTGCAATCTACGGCATAGTCTGTGTAGAAAGCCACTGCGATTGTCCCAAGATGGCCCGGCATGCGGTAATCTCCTCGCTTGTCAGCTTCGACTCCGGGTCGGACTCCCTGTTGCGCTTGATGTGGATCGGCTGGATCGTCCTCGCACTTCCCCTGACCCAATCGAAAGCCACCGTCCAGGTTGCGAGAAACTTCAACGCCGCATACAGAGTATCCATCCTCGTCTGATTCCCACATGCCCCATCTGCACAGTGTTCTGAGATGCTCGTAGTCGGACTCGAACTCCCTGTTGTCAATGTCCCCCGTGATCTGGAAATCGCCCACATGGACTAACATGAGCCCGATCACCCCGCTGTCCGAAATGACCTTCGTGACACGGCTCGAGCTGGCACGAATACCAGCTCCTGCTCTCGAGATCCTTCTTGACCTTCTCGTACCATCGCCGAGGTGCGTTGGTGGGTCCATAGCACGCCTCTAGAATCTGAACCTGAACCACGTCGTCATCGCCCAGGTTGAGTGCCTCTCGGAGCCGCGGCAGAGGCAGCGCGTAGAGCCCCCCCCCCCCACCCCCTCAGCAGCTTCCCCGCGAAAAAAAGCTGACGGGGCATCTGCAAGCCGCGTCCGCCAACCGCTGTTGGCCGCCATCTGGTACATCATCATTCTCGCCCATCTCGATGGCGTCGTCGACTCCGTCTCGAGCGTCTCCATGTCCTTGCTGGCGTAGCCTATGGGTACCAGGCTGGCCTTCGCCTTCTTGCCCCCGTCGGCCTCTGGACCCCCCCTCCTTCCACGTCAGAACACATCTCATCTTCATCAAGTCGACGTCCGGCAGCTTGCTCCTGAGAGCTCCTCGGCACGCTTGGGCGAGTAGATACTTGTCCACCTCCTTCTTCGTGGCTACGTCGAACTTCGCCTTGTCCTGGTCGCCCAACCTTTTGTAGTTCACCTCAACGCGCTGCCTTCTCGCATGCGCAGCTACGCACAGACGCGGAGACTTCGCGAAGCGGTTGAAGGCTTCCTTGGAGGGCATCGCGATGGAGACGTAGAGTGCGCCCGTCCTCTCGGCAGCAACGCCCTGCCCCTCGCTGACCTTCGGGACGGAGTTCGGCTCGCCTCGAACTCTGTCCTGGAAGTCGTCCGTGCCCCTCTCTCTTTTGGCTCCTGTCTTCTCCTCCTTGCGCGGCTTCTTCGTAGTCGCGCCTAGATCTGCACCTGGTCGTAGTCGCTCTGGTCTTGCTGGTGGTTGTCCCGGTGGATCTGGCGGCCCCAGCTCGGTCGACGATGCCTCGACCTCCATGGCGATACCCGACCCGTCTTGCATTCGCAGTTCCCTTCCTTCTCTTCCTTCCCCTCCTCCGGCTTGCCGGACTTTCGTGGTCCTACTTCAGCTGGTTACTGAGGCTGTGCAGCTGCAGGCGTGCCTCCATCGGCTCCTGCTGGAAACGGATCCTCTGTTTCTTCCACCCGCGCATCGCCCATGTCATCCAGGTCGGGAGCGCGCTGCCCAATCAGGTCCTCGCATTGGACCTTCTTGACCCTCAGCATGGCAGCTGCGATGTTGAGCGGTACTGTTTCTCCATGAAGTAACTGGTGCATCTCGATGTCCACAGCCGTTGCTGGCCTGAGATGCGCTCTGCCAGATCACGGAAGTCTGCCACGGTGCTCGATCCAGACCGCAGGCCCAGGGCGTCCATCAGCTCCAGGCTCTCGGGCAATGACTGTAGCAGGTCCTGACCAGGCCCCGCCTGACTGCTCGAGGTCCCCTTTGGCCTTCTCCGACCACCAGCCTGGCAGTCCACGTGGCAGTTTCCCTCGTCTTCCGAAACTTGAGCAGGGCAAGACGTCGTCTGGAAATAGTCTCGAGGAGCGCCGTTCGGCCCTCGAATCGCACCTTCTAGTTCTTGACGTACTCATCGCCCTCGGCCTCGTAGGACTTACTGGGAATGGGTAGGTTGTGTTCCTGTCCGAATACATATATATATATATATATATATCCAACGATCGGTTCAGGTGTCCTGCCCAGCATCATCTCGCATGGGGCTGCGAACCATGTCCCTGCCGAGATCGCTCATCGCGTCGATGGCCCCCAAGAAAATCTCATCCGCAGACCATGTCCTTGAGAATCCCGATGTTCCTTTCGCGTAGGGCCAGCCGGTCATGCGCTTGCCTAGCTGTGGCATCCACCATGATACCTCGCGATGATTGCCACTCCTTGACCCCCCTCCACACGACATCCTTCACCGTCCAGACGTAGCACCGCGGGTCGACAGTGATACCTCACCAGATTCTGCTGCAGCGCCTTTCGAAACTCATCCCGAGAGCGCATTAGCCTTCCTTTCCGGATGAGTTCCACCTCCGAGCCGCGCGCCCGCACAGACGATGCATGTACGTGTCCAGATCTGCAACTCACGCGGGCCCTGCCAGTAGAATCCGTCCGTCTCGATGACCTTGCCGGGCGCGGCCAGACTGTAGGGTGCCACTACGGACTCCATTTGCTTGTTCTTGCGCTTCTCACAAGCCTTGCATCTGAACGTTGCCACAAACTCCAGCATGGGCACCTTGGCTCCAGCCCTCTTCAGTACGTCTGTGAGCGCCCTGTTGCCGCGGTGCCCCAGTCGAACATGCAGCCGTCGAAGATAGCCGTTGATCGCGTCGGTGCCCACCTTCTCCTCGCATGGCTGCGGTGGTGGCGGTGCCTGGCCATCTTCTTCTTGTAGCGGTGGTTCAGATCGAGGTGGGCCCGGTAGTTTC